TACCCACCCCCAGATACCAAGTTCACATGAGGAGGGGTGGGGCAAGAGATAACAAGATTGCATATGGGGAAGGGGGGGTCAGGAGATATCAAGCCTGCATATTGGGGAAGGGGGGGGAGGGGTTCGAAGATACCAACTTTGCCTATGGAGTGGGAGTCGGAAGATACCAAGTTTGCAAATGCAGTGAGGGTTTGTCGGAAGATACCAAGTGTGCATATGAGAGAGGGTTGAAAGATCTTTTTTTTATAAGTCCGCAAACGTGCAACTATAACGAAAAAACCCGTAAGTGTTCACAAAAAAGTGCAAGTGCAAAACACCACACAAAAAGTGCACTTAAGGGTGTGCTTTGTCCTACCCCCGAAGGGGTTGGACCGCTACCCTGATCCCCCGGGGCACGAAGCTCCTGACAGGGACAGAGTTCCCATTTGGTCCTCCTGGCCAAAAGGCCTGGTGGACCACCGTTCCTTATGTCCAGCCGAAGCCGGACATCCAGTACTAGGCCAGGGGGTTCTCCCGAAGAGAAAACCCCCTAGGGACAGGGGAGGAAGGAACCGTATGGCCACACATCCTCCCCCTAGACTTCAGGGCAGGCCCGAGGACCCACACCCTCCATCCTGTGAAAAACACACACAAAAGTAAAAAGTGACAAACGTGGGGTGAAGGAAAAATAAATAAATAAATAAATAAATCTATAAAAATAATAAAAAGTGTCGTGCCCAAATTGTGCACTGACCAGACCCTGAGGCCTGTAGCAAAAAAATTGCCCAGAACTTGACCAAAAGGCCCGGTCCTAGAGGCGCAGTGCAAAAAGTATTTAAACTCGGTGACCATGTGCTCATTCACAACGTGGGGTCCCACACCCAAGTGCTACTCAGAGCACCCCTGAGGCGACTACTCAGGGGGCACCTAGTTTGCGGACTCTCTGCCTTCCCAGCCCCTGGCCAGACCAAGGTAGATCCGTCCAAATCAGGAGGTACTGGGTCCTTCAGACGTTCCAAAGGGGAATTACTCCCAGAGCCCCAGCTTAACTTGTGGCGCTCCCCGGTTTCTGTTCCCCCCGTAATAGCCATCCAGACCCCCATCATACCAGTGAGGGTACTATACAACAACCATCCCCGCAAAGCTAGAATGGTCGGGAGCACCCCCACTGGACACTGATAAGAACAGATACTACACTTGATCTTAGCCAAAAGGCCGAGAAGCGATTGAAAGATACCAAGTTTGCATATGGCGGGGGGCGCAAGATACCAAGGTTGCATACTGAGGAAAGGGGGGGGGGGCGTCGGAAGATACCAAGTATGCATATGGGAGGATACCACATATTACTATAAGGGAGGGGTTGCAAGATATTAATTTTGCATATGGTGGGTTGGAAGGTAGGAAGTTTGCTGGGGGGGGGCTCAGTGTCCTCACATTCCCTTCCCCCTACGCGCAAACTTGGTATCTTCCCACTCCCCACCCACCCCCAGATACCAAGTTTGCATATGAGGAGGGGTGGGGCAGAGAACAACAAGTTTTGATATGGGGGGTTATGGAAGATACCGTTTGCATATGGGGGGGGGGGTCAGGAGATATCAAGTTTGCATACGGGCGGGGGAAGATGTAAGATACTATATTTACATGAGGAGAAGATCGCAAGCTTGCATATGGAGTCGGAAGATACCAAGTTTGTATATGGGGCAAGAGGATGGCAGAGGATACCACGTTTAAAGGGAGGGGTTGGAAGCTACCAATTTTACATATGGGGCGGAAGACACCAAATTTACATATGTGGGTTGGGGGGACTAATTGAATGATACCAGATTTGCGTATGGGGGGGTTGCCCCCCCTTTATAGACAAACTTGGTATCTTCCAGCCCCCCCCCCCCATATGCAAACTTAATATCTTCCAGCCCCCCCATATGCAAACTTAATATCTTCCAGCCCCCCCATATGCAAACTTAATATCTTCCAGCCCCCCCATATGCAAACTTAATATCTTCCAGCCCCCCCATATGCAAACTTAATATCTTCCAGCCCCCCCATATGCAAACTTAATATCTTCCAGCCCCCCCATATGCAAACTTAATATCTTCCAGCCCCCCCATATGCAAACTTAATATCTTCCAGCCCCCCCATATGCAAACTTAATATCTTCCAGCCCCCCCATACACAAAACACACAGCACAGCCATCCAGAGCTTGCAGTGAAGCACCAACACACTGTCCTCCAGTAAAACGCACACAGCAAACCCTTTGATCGCCCCTCATGTTAACCCCTTCCTGCCCAGTGCCATTACTACAATGTCGGTGCTTTTTTTTTTTTTTTTTTTTTTATGCACTGATCACTGTATTGGTGTCAGTTCCCTCCAGTGTCAGAATGCCCGCCGCAGTCCCGCTATATGTTGCTGATCGCCACCATTATTTGTTAAAAAAAAAAAATACAATCCCAGTATATATACCATCATTTGTAAACACTATAACTTTTACGTAAACCAATTAATTTACACGTATTGGGACAATTTGTGTGGAAAAAAGGACATAAATCTCATTTGGGTGCAGCGTTGCATGACCGAGCAATTGTCAGTTAAAAGAACGCAGCGCCGTAACGCAAAAAAATGGCTTGGTCAGGAAGGGGGGTAAATCCTCAGGAGGGCAAGTGGTTAAAAAAAAAGAAAATATACCTACATCAAGGTTTGTTCTAGTTCAGTGCCAGGGTTAGTGTTTGGGTCAAAGGTCAGGATTTTTTTTTTTTTTTTAAATTGGTATCAGTGTCAGTTAGTGTCAGTGAGTTTTAGGCAAAAGAAACAAAAAAAAAATTTGCACTATTGTTTCTGGGCTGTACTACAGGTACAAACAACAAACAGCATACACATATATGGTATCACTGCAATCGTCAAGAGCTGGAGAATTTTATTTTGGGTTAATATTTGGTGGTAGGTTATGGAAGTAACAAGGAACACACAGCTACATTAAAAAAAAATATTTATTTTTTTTTTACTATTTTGGCCCAGTTTTCCTTTGATAAGAAAAAAAACAAAATCTGGAGATATCCGTTACCATTTACCACCAAATAAAAGCCCAATCTGTCCTGAAAAAAACACGGTATAATTCACCTGGATGTACAAAGTAGTTGTGATGAAATGTACGGTTTTACTAACACATGTCAAAGTTGCAAAATTGTGCTTAGGTGTTAAGATTTGTTTTACCCTCAGGCGTGAAGGGGTTAAGGGGATTTGTGGATTTTTACCTCTTGGAGCTGCGTGGACACGTGACCCAGCTGCTCCTGCCGGCTGTCTGCCTGCTGCCTCTCCACCCTCATCTCCTTCTCCAACTGCTGCAGCCGCCTCTGTACCCGCTCAGACACCTGCAAGCACCAATGGGACACAAGGAATTTGATTCACGGAGAGGTAAATTGTTTAAGACAAAATGTAAGGATTGTAAAGGCTGCAATACCGGAGCAATTGTGTCATCTGGTCATCAGTCTCATTTAGTATTGTTTTATAGGTGGTTTTCATTGTTACTATTACAAAGTAACATTGACTTCTCCATCACGTCCAACAACGCCACCATCAAACCCGCCCCGCAAGCCAGAGTACTTGGTGTCATTCTGGACTCCAACCTATCCTTCCAGCCCCAAGTCCAATCTTTAACAAACTCGTGCAGACTCCACCTCCGCAACATCGCCAAAATCCGCATGTTCCTAACCCCAGAAACCACTAAACAGCTCATCCACTCCCTCATCATATCACGACTCGACTACTGCAACTCCCTCCTCACTGGCCTGCCTCGCCGCTGGTCGTCCCCGCTTCAGTCGATCCCGAGTACGGCTGCCAGACTCATTCACCTTTCCAACCGCTCCGTCTCTGCCACCCCCCTCTGCCAATCCCTCCACTGGCTTCTGATTGCGCAACGGATCAAATTCAAAATCCTAACATTGACGTACAAAGCTGTCCACCATACTGCCCCGAACTACATCACTGACCTAATATCCAAGTACCACTTAACACGCACACTCCGCTCCTCACAAGACCTCCTCCTCTCTAGTTCCCTGGTCTCCTCCTCCCATGCCCACCTCCAGGACTTCTCCAGGGTGTCACCCATCCTCTGGAACTTCCTGCCCCAACCAATCAGATTATCACCTACTCTCCTCTCCTTTAGGCGCACCCTGAAAACCCACCTCTTCAGGGAAGCCTACCCCACCCCCTGCTAACTTGCCGACCTCCTCCACTCTTCCTACCACTCCATCCCCCTGTGCCACTGTCCCCTCCCTCCTAGATTGTAAGCTCCAAGGAGCAGGGCCCTCAATACCCTCATATTTTGTATTGTATTGTTATTGTTCTGTCACATGTTCTGTCCCCCTTTGTAATGTACAGCGCTGAGTGAACTATTGGCGCTTTATAAATACTGCATCATAATAATAATAATAAGTAAATGATGGGACAGTACTACTACTACTAATAATCCTCCAACTATTACCACACTGCATGCTGTAACAAAATATTCGACAAAGCCATATTAGTTGCACTCACAGGCATACACTGATCTCTGGAGAGCCCACAGCAGTTTCACTGACAGTCATATACTGATCTCTGGACGTGGCAGGAGTGCAGCCATCTTGCCAGACATATGACATTTTGTATTTGAGGAAACTGTACGCAGACAGCCCCAACAATTGGAGCAGATGACAGGATTATTCAGTAATGGCTGTAACGTGTTTTCAGTACATCAGCCTGTGACAAGAAGCTCTCATGGAGTGAAAAGCAATAACGTGCGGAGAACATGAACAGACAACAACACTTGTTGTCAGGTGCTCAATCAATCCACAATGCTGGAAGTGACAGGCTTCCCACACACAGGAGCCACGCAGAAATTGTAGATAAATGTCAGTAATGAGAACGCCTCTCCTGTCACATCATAAAAATATACCCTCTAGCCTGGGAGCGGGCTCTCCTACGCTGCAACACTCACCGTCTCCTGGTGCTGGCTCTCGTTCAAGCGGGTAGATAACTCTTCTAGGGCTCTCTTTGTCTCAGCATCAGTCCTAGTAGAAAAATTTGAAAATGTACCACAATGCAGCCTTGATCAATAGCAGAATCCAGCCAGAGAACCTCCACATTGATCTTCCTAAAACTAATCTTACAATAGTAGCACACTGCAGCACAGCTGTCATTGTTCCTGTCACAACACCCTGTGAAGAGATCACTTGACTGCTTTCAGAATTAAAGGTTGCACTCTCCGTGAACCATATTAAAGCTGGCCTACTCTGAATTAAGAAGCCCTCCTCCCCGAAACCTGATCCCCTTCCCGAAACATGATCCCCTTCCCATACTATACCGCAGCTCTGAGATCACATGACCAGTGCCTTGGCATTATGCCATGTTGAGCAGCACCACAATAGGGTGGTGGCTTCTTCAGTCAACCGGTTGGGGCTTTAATCACTTGTCTGCCAGTGCAGTATAAAAATGGCAGCTGGTAAGGATTTTAAATGCAGTGATAACTGCTTTAGCAGTCGGGGCTGTCTGAATTTGTAGAGCAGGCAATAGACTTTCACATGGAAGCAATTTGGGCAGCTGTAAAGCTGCCTGATCACTTCCACAGCCTGTCAAAGGCCTCACCCCCTGCCTGATTGCCCCCTTCACATATCCCAGGCTCAGGTGTCCCACCTACAGTACCGGCATGGCTGGTGTTGGTGAGCAGAACAGAGGGATACCAGCGAACAGGTCTTCTGTGATCTCCCTACAGCGAATAAACACAGAAGCAGGGTGTATTATGTCACTTCCAGGTTTGGCTGTCTTTTCCCTTTCTGCTTGTAGCCAAGGGAGAAGCTAATGGAGCAAGATCTGTCATGGTTCGTTTCAGTGGAGGGCAGGCCAGAGATCATGGGTCTCATAGTCCCCTGACATTTTGGTAAAGAGAACCCATCATTACATTATGCTATCAAGTAGGGGGCATTTGGCACCCTATGTGATAGCAATAACTTAAAAGGATAAGTTAACCTTTCGTAACCCAAATTCAGGGCGCATCATGTAACATGTACTATGGGTCAGGCCACTGCACCCCCTGATCCCGTTTTGACAGCTAGCGGGGGAAACTTCCCCCCCCCCCCCCCGCTAGCTGTCAACATGAAGAGAAAAAAAAAAAAAAAAAAGAAGAAGTGGCAATGCAGAGCTCCGCCTGCCCGAGCACATCATTCATTCACAGGGTTTTGGGAATGGAAAACTACATGTCCCAACAGCCTTTGCTGCTGTCAGCCTGTAGTTCTCAATGAACTATCACAGCGCTGTCGAGCACTGTGGTAGTTCATTGATTCTTCCTGTCAGACTATATCGACTTCCTCCGAGGTACGAGCACACAGATTACACTGACAGTTTGCAGGAGACCTGCACGGCACCAGCAATCTGTTGATCGCTGGTGCAACGCCTTCCAGGATCCTAAAACAAAAAATAGTAAATGCACTTTTTTTACCTGCATAAAAACGTGCATTTATTTTTTGTTAAAAAGTAAATTTATCCATTAATAAAAAAAAAACAACAAAAAAACAAAACCAATTTTTTTAATTCCCCCACCCTCAGCAATCTCCTCCCCCCACCCTCAGCATAAACACCATACTACAGGGGCAGAAATAACTTTTAGGGCAATACATTTTTTATTTAAAAAGTCACTTTTTCTTTTAAATCACACTGGGCAACACAAAAATCATTTCTAAACCTCCCGTAAAAGTGACATTTGTTCAAATACAGCGTTTGTTTCTAGTGCTTACTATTTGCAGGCAGGCTGGTAGCATTATGCAGTATAGGTTGCCAGGGAACATAGTTTTGCATTGCATACTACAATACAACCCACTACCGGCTACCAGTTCTGACAGTGAGGCTCCCGCTAGGAACCACAGTCATTCAAAACAAGTAGGAGAGGGCATGTCAACGGGGCTGACTAAAAGGCTACAGGCACGTAGTGCATTAGTGTGGCATCCTCTAGCTCAGATGAGATGCTGATGAGTTCATACCGACCATGCCTGCACAGATCTGTCTCTGTACTTGGCGTGGTCATAACCAAAACAGTAAAAAAAGACCAGCAGGATCACCAGTTTTTTCTGAGGAAAGGAAGCGTTAAGTAAAGCACAGGCTACATTTACAATCAACAGGAAAAACACACATGATGGATTGAGCCCATGGTGATGAACCCCTTAGGTAGAACTTTTTATTTCCACTTTGGATAGAGCAAAGGAGGGTTTTTTCGCCATCTATGTGCCATTTCGGAGATTTCCCTTCACTTCCTGTCCCACAGCCAAAAAGGAAGCGTGAGGAAATCCTTTCAAAATTAAGGGAATCCCTTGGACCCCCCCAGGTCACCAGAACTAGTGTCCCTATTGGAAGTCATCCCCTTTTATTACTAATCTAGGAACAACCCAAAATTTGGGATTTTGTTTACATTCGCTCTCAGTGATAATGGTAAACAGGACAAAGAGCGGGTGAATATACCTAAAGGGGGCATGGACAGCAATAAAAACCTGACAAGAGTTCTAATCTAAATTAGATTTTCATGTCTTCATATTGTTTTTGATTGTCCAGTTGTGGATGCATATGTTACCCTTGTTTTTCCAATCATTTACTTGTACCATTTGAAATTGATCGCCAAAATTTTCTTTATGTCCGTGTACATGTCTTTTATCGTTAATACAAATATTATGGAAGAAAAAACACGCATATGGGTAATATGGATTTTGCTTGGATACAGATCTACAGAAAGCAAATCCAATTTAGAAATTAAAAAAAAAAAAAAATTTAGATCTGCACTTCAGAAAAGGAGTACCTGTTTCTCCGTGCAAGCTCGCGGCCCAGGTCATCATGCAGACGGAGTTGGTCGCTGCTCAAATCTCGAAGGGACTGATGCAGGGAATGAAGCTGGAACACAGTTAGACCAAAAGCATTGTAAACAAAACGTTATCAATATATCATATAAAGGATCTGTCGGTTTTGCCCCATGCATGTACAGAAATGGCAGTCACAGATAAGTAGATATAACGCGCAGAGTGTGGTTTATTTCAACCTGAGAACAGTTCAATGTATGACAGCTATGAGATTCCATTTATAAATTTGTTGAGAAGGAAGTGGGGACTTCAGTGTGGGCAGCTTGTTAAAATCTACTTATTCTTCAAAGTGGTCCTACAATCAGGTATGAAAACTATACAGGTATGAAAACTATACAAAAAATATAGAACATACAATATATTGCCAAACTTATTGGGCCAGCCCTCCAAATCATTGGATTCAGGTGTTCCAATCCCCTCCATGACCACAGGTGTATACAATCAAGCCCCTAGGCATGCAGACTGCTTCTACAAACATTTGTGAAAGAATGGGTCGCTCGCAGGAGCTCAGTGACTCCAAGCGTGGTCCCGTGATAGGTGGCCACCTGTGCAATAAGTCCATCTGTGACATTTCCTGGCTACTAAATATTCCACGCTCAACTGTTAGTGGGATTATAACAAAGTGGAAGCAACTGGGAACAACAGCAACTCAGCCACCAAGTGGTAGGCCACGTCACATGACAGGGCGGGGTCAGCACATGCTGAAGCGCACAGTGTGCAGAAGTCGCCAACTGTCTGCAGAGTCAATAGCTAAAGTCCTCCAAACTTGGTGTGGCCTTCAGATTAGCAAAACAGTTCGTAGAGAGCTTCATGGAATGGGTTTCCACGGCAAAGCAGCTGCATCCAAGCCTTACATCACCAAGTGCAATGCAAAGCGTCGAATGCAGTGGTGTAAAGCACGCCGCCACTGGACTCTAGAGAAGTGGAGACGTGTTCTCTGGAGCAACAAATCACGCTTCTTGTCTGGCAGTCTGATGGACGAGTCTGGATTTGGCAGTTGCCAGGAGAACTCTCTCCTATAAATCATAGGCGTTTAGAGATATAAGGTACAATTCTGAAAATCTTTTCCCAGCTGACTGACCATATATAGACCAGATTTTTTTTTAGGTACACCATCACAGTACAGTTATTGGTAAATCTAAAGGAAATTGTACTATGTATGAACAACATGTGCTTATATTTCACTCCCCTGTATCCATTTACCACTCCCATTTCCCTCCAGCTAATTCTATCATCTCCATTCCTGGCATACATAAAAACGCTTTCAAATTAGACAATAAAAATCTTTATTTTTCCATGCAGTGACAGAGACGCTCCACCCATATCCTCCCTCTGACACATTGCGCCCGCTATTGCGGTAAGATTTAGCTGCAGAGGGGATGAAACATGTCAAAAGAGAAGACTTGGGTGGACTGCCTGTCACCGCTCAAACAATAAAAGTTCTGTCGGCTGAATAGAAAGCAGTGTGCAGCTTTACACTCAAGAGTTTACCATCTGTTTGTTGAATGAGAGTTTGATCTGGATCTGCTTAAATGGTTTTGCGTTTCATTTATACAAGTTGTGTGCAATAATGCGATACATTTACAATCTGATAAAGTTGCATGTAAAGGCCTGGATCCTATGGATGGCTGTGTGGCAATGTGAACAGGTCCAATGAGCCATTTTTTATTATTCATCTTTTCATGCTGCCTCACCTGCCCATTGTTTCCCACTTCATCTAAAAACCGCACTGCTGATCGAGAACGGCGCCGTGGCTGAACTCCCACTTCTGTGTAGTCCTTAAGAGGAGAGGTTGGCTGTAAGCGTCGGTTTCTGGATCCTGAGACAGGAAATAAAATGTAAGGACAGTTTAATGAAGACATGCAGACAACAGAACAGAGAAATGGGAATGCTAACAATTGTGTGAAATCAGACAGTCACTTCATTTATTTTAAAGACACACTGCCATCTGCCCATTCAGACACCATATGTGTTGGGAGAACTGAACGCCAGCGTAGGGTGAAGATCAAGACACAGGATCTAGGTTTTGGAGGCAGCTCCGTCAGCTGGGGGTCACAGAGGAAGTCTGGAGTGGTCAAGAAGGGTGAGAGCCCCAAAAGACTTGCATGATTTCAGTATAAAGTTTACTTTTTACAAACCAGGACTGCTGGAGTGGTGAAAGGAGTCGGGCAAGTGCTAAAGGAGTGGGTAGAACAGTTAGTGGGCGTTTTGTACCTTGATGCAGGGAATGCAATGGCATAACTAGAAACTTCAGAGCCCCAGTGCAGGAAACCATGAAGGGCCCCTCAACCAGGGCCCTTCTGTCTGAGCCCGGTGGTGGGCAGCTGCAACCTTTTTGACCCTGGTAGATCCGCTACTGGTGTCAGTCGTTTTTATTTTTTTTTTTGCTTTTTTTTTTCACTACTGTTAAATTTTTTTTGAAGTGATATCACGTGATTCGTGACGATATGCTTGGGGAGGAGCCAGTGACATCAGAGCAGGAATACTGGAATTGAGGAGTGTGTTTGCGGTCCAAAGCTTATTATTATGCTTACCATGCGAAACACTTCTAATAGAATAGTAAGTTTGTCTTACACTTTTATGATACTATATACACTTTTTGCTGAAATGGTATAATTGTGGTCTCAGTTTATATGTATGAGTTGAGAACGCAAGTGTTTGACATTTTAGTAGCGGAACACCCGATATATTTTGGTTTTACGGTTTACATGTGATGAACACAGATTGTTTGTGATTGCAGCAGCCTAACATTTTATATAAACATTTTATTACATGGGACACAATTAGTGGCAGTGCACATTTATTTATTTTTATTTCAGGGCTCTAAACAGACCTCAGACAGACAGAGAAAGGAGATTGAGGACACAGCCCTCTCCATCTCTGAAACCTCAGTTTCACAGAATGAATGGACAGGAAGAGCTTTGTACAGAGTTTCCCGTCCATTCATAAACTGAAGCATAGTAAAGGTTCAGTACGGATCAATGACTTTCCACTCAGAAAAATAAGGGGTCGGTAAATGACACAGCTCCTTTCCCGCTTTTCATTCTGGAAGATCCCCTGCAGCAGCAAGCGGGAGAGGGGATGGGGAAGCCTAGCAGAACTGTAGGGGACAAGGGGGGCTGAGAAAGAACTCGGGGGGGGGGGGGGGGTGTTCAGAAGAAAAGCTGGATATGAGGAGCAAAGGGGGTGTCTGCATATAGAGGAATCAATCTCCCATGTTCCTCCATGCAACCGCTGAATACCTGCTTTTCCTCCTCTCCCTCCCACAGACATTCAGCAGCTGGAGAAACATTGAGAGGCTGGTTCCTCTATATGCAGCCGCCCCTGCTGCTCCTCCTATCCAGGCATACAGGGGGCGCACAGGCCCCCTGCAGCATAGGGCCGAGTTGCAACTGCGACCCCTGTAGGTACGCCCCTGAAGGAATGCATTAAGGTAAAAAAAACATTTTGACTTTGGAACCACTTTAAGTCTGGTACAAATGTTATTTTTTTATAAAAATAAGTCAAAGAGATTTAAGCTACATGCTCATGGGGATTATGTGTTGTGGTTAGAAAGCATTTTTAATAAATGTTAGGGACTAGAATTAAATATAAAAACCTGAAAGGAATACTAATTTTGGGGAGAGGGGGGCACACTATATCCCAGACAGACCTGCTGGGGCCTCCAGATCACTGGCACACAAGCTGGACAGAGATGCACTTCTTCCTTCAGATAGACGGGACAGTCGCTGACTTCTAAGCTGGTCGATGGACTGCTCCAGATTTTCCTTCAGCTGTATAGGAAGAGAAAATGTAGGAAAGTCAGTACAGTTATAGGAATTAAATCTATACAGGATGCAGAGCTTAGAGTACCTAAAGACTGAATGAATTATTGTAACAGCAGCAGCAGTAATGATCTCAGAGAGGATACCCCTTTTTATCACACACCATACAGCAATATATTTTACAAAGATGATGTCTGCGCTTCCTCTGTATAATGAATAAATCAAAAAAAGCAATGGGTGTTAAATGTATCCAGTACTTCATTATGCTACATTCAAAATATAGCATGTCTATATATCCAAAGCAATTACGTCCAGGGAACTGTAACCCTAATGGATACCATAACCACTGTAACTATTACTCCTCGTGCACACAGGGTCTAGGATAATACCTAGGGTCTTGCGGCAGCAATATTCTGTGTAAATCGACGTTTGCAGCAACATTTACACCATGGACAGCACTAATCAACTGTACTGGCCACCGCTGCTCAGGGCATCACGACATATATAGGTCAACAATGTGTAATCATTGGCGCTAGTGTACACGGAGCAGCAGATCTTGCTGTCAGCAACATCCTACATAAATTCATACACACTGTATGCATGAGGCCCAAAAGGTACAGTGATTATGGCAACACTTTACTATTCCCTGAATGATATGGCTTTAGATTTGGATACTTTATTCCCTGAATGGGGCATGATTTGCTCTGCAAGTAAAGATAGATGGATGCATCGTTTTGCATAGGTTGCTGTTTTGATATATTGTTTTTGATAGTTTTTTTTTTTTTTTCACTATACATGCGAGTTCTGCAGAGTTCTCATTTACTATATTGTTGTGTATAAGTTGTAGGCCCTAATGCTGCAAAGATCGGTCAACGACATGCAAGTATCTAGCATGAAATCACTCCTTTTCTTGCAGTTTAAAAACGTCCCTTCTACAGAAGGCATATTTATGGTTACATCTTAGGTGTGTGTAGGCATATGCAGTCTATAGTCTCCTCTGCAGGTGGTGCTCAAGCACCATGGCTACACAGATGGGGGAGGAAGTTGGGAGGAACTTGGTTGTTCCTCTGTAGTTTTCTTGGTCACAAGGAGGCACCTCCAATTGGATGCTGGAAACTCCAATGTACTTTGGTGGCCAACTTGGGTCAGGTAGAGTCTATTTAAGACCCTGGCACCCAGGATAGACGTGTTTGATGAGAAGACAGGTTCCCCGTCTGTCAGGTACAGTGAAGGCGGCAGGAAAAGGTTCTGGTGGAGGAAATAGAAAAGAAAAGAGCGCACAAACCTTGCGCATTACCTCACTAAAACATTCATGTATTTATTAATAAGTTATTCTCACAAGAGTAGCAGTTAAAAAGGCATATAACATCCAAAACCAACACAGGGTTAGACGACACGTGCAAGTTCCATGCAGAAGGGAGATAAGCTCTTGGTCAAGCTGACGCGTTTCGAAGGGGGATCCCTTCTTCCTCAGAGCTTAAAAGTCTGCAAAAGAGGACCTAAATGGTTTGCAGGAATGATCAGTTCCCTGATTGAAACACTAAAACGCTGACACATAGTGGCAAAATGCCTCCTATAAAGTAAGAACACATAGAAAACACACAACAGTGAGGCTGTCAGTTAACATTTCAATACTGGAAATTGATCATTCCTGCAAACCATTTAGATCCTCTTTTACAGTTTTTTAAGCTCTGAGGAAGAAGGGATCCCCCTTCGAAACGCATCAGTTTGACCAAGAGTTTATCTCCCTTCTGCATGGAACCCGCATGTGTCGTCTAACACGGTGTTGGTTTTGGATGTTATATGCCTTTTTTACTGCTACTCTTGTAAGTATAACTTATTAATAAATACATGAATAATTTACTGAGGTAATGCGCAAGGTTTGTGCGCTCTTTTCTTTTGTTCTCTACTACAGTCTAGATCAAGCTTCCCCAGCTTTGTGTTAGAGCTGCACAACCTTTGATCAGTGTTGGATGAACATTATCAATTTACTTGATCGGCTCTCCTCTGATCTGAGTCCTTGAGCGCAGGAGGTGGTGGATGTGTGTTGACTGGAGGAAAGAGAGCAAGGTCTACGTCTGCCTCTTCATAAAGCCTCCCTTTTGGGTCAGACTTGCCAGGCTGCACTTCGCTCCTTGTGGCATCCCTAAGTCTTCTGTCCGCTGTCTATACGCTACTAAGTTGTAAGTGGCACAGGACAGGTGTGCTTCCCATTGGGCAGGTTTATACTGTTAAATTGCTGTTGCAAAGAAGGACTCCTACCCAACACCAGATGAATGTTGTAAAGCTGCATGTGTTATCCTATACAAAGATCTGTGTTTACACTTTTGGACAGACTGACCCCATAAAGGTAAGAGAAATATGGGTGCTGCCATTGCCCAGCTCCTCCTAAAAATGCTGCTTGCTTGACTGTCTAAATTTAATAAAAATCGAGAAAATAAAGAACGCACATCAAGTTTGTTACTGGTGAAGATGATTAAAAAAAGATTCTTACAAATTAATTTCAGCTTTTAAAAAAATCCCCTCAAGTGCAAATAAAAGGTCACACAAACCTCAGACAAAGCATTCGGTGTCATTTACAGAAAGGCGAGTCTGATGGAAGCTGTGCTCCCAGGATGGTACATCATGTTACTGTGTGCCCGGTGGAACATCACCTGCCCCCTCACTTTGCCTCCTGTGACAGCAGGCACACTTCCTACGCAGTTCATTATCGCAGCTAATTACAGACTGCAGCTTATTTCTCCTCCGTTATCTGGTCCCTTTAATTACCCGCAGGAGGTCAGCCCCATGAAAGCTGTCCAAACAGCATTGACAAGACTATGGGCTATGGAGAGTGCGCTGGTGATATAAAGGGAGACAGGGACCTGCAGTATTAATGTGCAGGACTGACGCTCATCGGAGGTGACATCAGGACAAGTAATGCAATTAAAGATCCTTCCAGAAAGCGAAAGAGGAACAGAAGATGACTGCACTGCAATCTACAGTCTCCTAACACAAACTGTCCACAATCAGAAGACTGTTACAAAGCTGTACAGTGTCTTAGCCATAACTCATTGACTATCGTCTAGATCTCTGGCACCCAGTCTGCAGGACTCTGGCCCAAGCAGTCAATAACTTGATTCGGCCCCAGCCTACAACGATTTGGGAAGGCCTAGTTGACGCCATCGTGACTCTGTAGAGCTCAATATCCCATAAGAATACAATTTTGCAAATGGGATGGAGTGAAGTCAGCTCTGCTTCTCAGAAAGATCAGAGGCTGAAGCTGATTTTTTTTTTTTCCCCATTTGCCATTAAAAAGTTTCTCTCTTTCACCCTACCTTACTATTTCTGTGTTGTCCATTCCCGTGTGTACATATTTTATTTTGCCTGACTTTTTAAGGGAATTTTTGGGATTTCTATTGCGGGATCAGTATATGGAAAAGAACCATACTGACAATGTTTATCAGTCTCAAGCAACACGTCGCCAACTTCTGACCATCTCATGTTGTGTGTCTCCTGCAGCGCGCCTGCAGCCCCTGGCCATCTCCTGCAGCGCGCCTGCAGCCCCTCGCCATCTCCTGCAGCGCGCCTGCAGCCCCTCGCCATCTCCTGCAGCGCGCCTGCAGCCCCTCGCCATCTCCTGCAGCGCGCCTGCAGCCCCTCGCCATCTCCTGCAGCGCGCCTGCAGCCCCTCGCCATCTCCTGCAGCGCGCCTGCAGCCCCTCGCCATCTCCTGCAGCGCGCCTGCAGCCCCTCGCCATCTCCTGCAGCGCGCCTGCAGCCCCTCGCCATCTCCTGCAGCGCGCCTGCAGGCGTGGCCATCTCCTGCAGGCGTGGCCATCTCCTGCAGCGTCTGCAGGCGTGGCCATCTCCTGCAGCGTCTGCAGGCGTGGCCATCTCCTGCAGCGTCTGCAGGCGTGGCCATCTCCTGCAGCGTCTGCAGGCGTGGCCATCTCCTGCAGCGTCTGCAGGCGTGGCCATCTCCTGCAGCGTCTGCAGGCGTGGCCATCTCCTGCAGCGTCTGCAGGCGTGGCCATCTCCTGCAGCGTCTGCAGGCGTGGCCATCTCCTGCAGCGTCTGCAGGCGTGGCCATCTCCTGCAGCGTCTGCAGGCGTGGCCATCTCCTGCAGCGTCTGCAGGCGTGGCCATCTCCTGCAGCGTCTGCAGGCATGGCCATCTGCAATGTGTCTGCAGTTTCTGACCATATCTGGTAGCTCATCGCCAATCTCATCATCACCCATCTGCAGTCCCTGTCCTGACTGTAGTGTGTCCACATTTGTTCACAGCATTATATACCTTAAACATTTAGGGGGGGTATTTACTAAAAAATTTTCTCTTCCAACATATCAATTAAGAAGTTAAAAAGGGAACCTGTCAGAATGGTCATTACATGGGAGCAAAAACTCCCATCCAGCTCTGGAGGATGTCACTGCCTGAATCCTAGAATCTGTGCAGGTTTTGAGGCAGACATACAGTATTTTCAATCATGATACCACAGGTGTGTGCTCTTCCCCAGAACCTCTTCTAATAGCTAGGGCGTGACAGCTACCAACAGTGGATGAGAGCCACAGCAGTGACTAGTCCTTTTAAAGTGAAACTTTGGAACATGCTGTAACTAGGTAGAGCAGAAGGTGACATGAGGAGTGGAGGGTGATATCAGGTCGGAATATGATATTAAGGTGAAGTGGAGATAAGGGGGAGGACAGGAGTGGAGTGTAGTGGGAATGACAATGTGTAGTGGAAGGATAGTGATACTAGGGTGGAGTTGAGAGAATGTAACTTATATGAGAGGTGTGCAGAATTATATCAAGGTAGAAAAAAGAAAAAATTGTAAAAAGGAAGGGTGAGGAGCATGAGGAAAAAAGGAAAGTGGAGTGGAGGTGGAATGTTTGTGTGGAGTGGAGGGATCAGGACACTAGGGTGATGTCAAGGTGAGGTGGAAAACCAGGGAAGGGTAATGTCAAGGTGAGGGGGAAAAAAAAAGGGAAGCATGTCAGGGTGGAGGGGAGATAAGAGGAGGGTGATGCCAGAGTGGAGGGGAGAGAAAAGAAGGGTGAAGTCAGGGTGGAGGGGAGAGAAGAGGGTAACGTCAAGGTGGAGGGGAGAGAAAAGAGGGATGATGTAAGGGGGTGGAGTGAAGGACTCAGGAGGGATAGGTCTCTGTACAGATAATCCTGCCTGGAGTTATGGCCTGCACATGAGTGACAATCACCCTCACCAGCACCAGATTGATATCTGTCCAGAACTTACCGCTGTGATGGCTTCCGTCTGGTCAGAGGTATACTCCCTGTACTGCCCAAGCATCTCGTCCACTTGCGTCAGATTACGACTGGTGTCCTTAGAAGGAAAGACAATATATTTTACGAGAAAGATAATTGTGCTGTAAATGAGATGATTAGAGGTGAGGAAATATAACAGGGCATGCTGTAATTAGGGAGAGAATTAAGATGGAGGTGAGGAAATGTAACTGGGTGTGCTGTAACGAGGAGGATGAGAGGATTAAGGTGGATGTGAGGAAATATAACGGGACGTGTTGTAATCAGGCAGAGAATTAAGATGGAGGTGAGGAAATGTAACTGGGTGTGCTGTAATTAGGGAGAGCAGAAAATTCAGGTGGATGTGGAGTTTTATCCTCTTTCCGTTATAATACATCGACTGGCATTTTATCCTCATTATAGATCTAGTGTATGACTGCAGCATGCTGACAGCAAACATCTAATCCAGTGTTTCTCAACTCCAGTCCTCATGGACCCCCAACAGGTCATGTTTTCAGGATTTCCCTCAGATGAAACAGCTGTGGTAATTACTAAGGCAGTGAAACTGATCAAATCACCTGTGCAAAATAATGGAAATCCTGAAAACATGACCTGTTGGGGGTCCATGAGGACTGGAGTTGAGAAACACTGATCTAATCTAAGGAGGGGGCACATCCCACTGGAAGGGACAGGAGTGGAGAGAAAGAAGGACAAAATCTAGAGTGGTAGTGACCCTAGGGTGATGTCAGGGGGATGTGGAGCAAAGGGAAGGGCAAGAGTGGAGTGGAGATTATGTCAGGGTGGAGTGGAGAGAAGGGAAGAGTGATGTCAGGGTAAAGTAGATGGATTGAGAGGTAAGGGTAATGTCAAGGTGAAGTGCAGAGAAGAGGAGGGCGATTTCAGGGTGGAGTGGAAAGATAGGGAGTAGAGGATAACTGAGTGGAGTGGGAAGAAGGGGAAGGCCATGTCAGTGTGGAATGGAGGGATGTGGAGGTGAGGATGTCAGGGTGGACTGCAAAGAATGGAAGGGTAATGTCCGTGAGCAGTGGAAAGAAAGGGGAGAATCTCGGAGTACGGAGTTATATTAAGGTGGAGAAAAAGGATTATAAAAGAAAGGTGATGTCAGAGTGAAGTGCACAGATGGGGAGGTGAAGGCAATATAAGCGGGAAGTGCAGGGAAAAGGGCAGGATTGGAGTGACGGGAGAATGTCAATGTGAAGTGGAGCGATATTGATAATAGGGCAATGTCAGCATGAAGTGGAGGGAAGGGGAAGAGTGAGGAGATTTAGGGGTGAGGGTGGTTGGGGCAGGGGTTTGTCAGGCTTGAGCAGATGAATGGAGAAGGGAGGGTAATGTCAGTATGGATTGGAGAGAAGGGGAATGAAGCAGTGGAGTGGAGGGTCATGTCAGGTTGGAGTGAAGAGATGGGGACAGGAGGACTTTGTCAGGGTGGAGTGAAAAGGGTAATGTCAGGGTGGGTGGAGTGAAGGAAAGGAGAGATGGGTGATTGATGCCCGTGTGGGGTGAGATGAAGAGAAGGAGAGGAGTGGAGTTATATTAGGAGGATATTATGTAGAAATGGGAGATGTCAAGGTGAAGTGCAAGGAAGGAGAAAGATTTGGCTGTTGGTGGAGTGCAGTGTTATATAGGAGGAAGGATTTAGATGTTGGGGTGGAGTGCAGTGTTATATCAGAGGAAGAATATGGATGTCGGCGGAGTGCAGTGTGATATCAGAGGAAGGATTTGGCTGTCGGTGGAGTGCAGTGTGATATCAGAGGAAGGATATGGCTGTCGGTGGAGTGCAGTGTGATAGAGGAAGGATTTGGCTGTCGGTGGAGTGCAGTGTGATGTCAGAGGAAGGATTTGGATGTCAGTGCAGTGTGATATCAGAGGAAGGATTTGGCTGTCGGTGGAGTGCAGTGTGATATCAGAGGAAGGATTTGGCTGTCGGTGGAGTGCAGTGTGATATCAGAGGAAGGATTTGGCTGTCGGTGGAGTGCAGTGTGATGTCAGAAGAAGGATTTGGATGTCAGTGCAGTGCAGTGTGATATCAGAGGAAGGATTTGGCTGTCGGTGGAGTGCAGTGTGATGTCAGAGGAAGGATTTGGATGTTGGAGTGGAGTATAGGAAGGATTTAGATGTTGGTGGAGTGCAGTGTGATATCAGAGGAAGGATTTGGATGTCAAAGTGGAGTGTTATATTAGTGTTAGATTTCAGAGGACATCATCAAGCACCTGCAATGTGTTGGCCAATTTATGAATTTTCTCAGATACTTCTGTAGCTGCTCCAGTCCTGCCATGTGTGTGGGTGGCACGAAGAGGACCTCGTCTGCTGGCTCGGGTGCGCAGATAGGACTCAGAGTCACTAGATGATTCTGCCATGATATGGTTTCTGCAGAGAGAAGAGGTATAATTAATAAAGCGGACCACCAGGCACAAAAAAAAAAAATTATTTAAATATATTCTCCAATAGCAACAGAGGTTATAAAATCCATATTGTGTTTCCAGATGTCTTTACAAACCTAGATATTACCTTGTAAAAGTAGTAGTGATGTAATCACTGCCATGTACATAGCCTGCGCAGAACTGTGGGAGGGACCTAGCAACTTCACCCATTATAGGCTGCCTGCAGAAAACTTCAGGAGGGGAGCAGACACAAAACCAGTCACCCCGCACAAGAAAGAGCAGCAGTGAGCGGTCTTTACTGCAGGAAGCTCCAGTACAGAGGGAAAGTCTCACACTGAATCACTGCACAGATCTGGAAGAAATACTCAAAGCACACCAAGACTTAGGAAAGAATACACATGCAGAATGTATCTAGACTAGATTTGCTAATTCTGGAGTTCATTGATCCCGAGCAACAAAGCGATAAAAATGCAAAACTGCTACTAGCAGGGAAGTAACATTGTTCATAGCAACCAGCTTCCATTTCCTAATCTGCACTAGAAAACAATGACAGATTAGAACTGATGACTGGCTGCCATGTGCAGCACATACACTCCTCGAGCTTACTTCAGAAGACCAGGAGAACAACAGTTCTGTCTATGAGGGGCAGTAACTCATAGCAACCATTTTTTTTAATGTTACCATAGCAACCAGATTTCTACTTTGTATATTTCCATAGCAACCAGATTTCAATACAAAAAAAAAGACCGCAGATGAAAAACTGCTATGCCAATGTTGGAATAACAACTATACCACATTGTACATCGTATATGTATACTGGTTTTGTTCGTTTTTCCATGAATGTTGGATACTCTAAATAAAGAATTTGCAAAAAAAAAGAAAGAAGAAAGAAGAAGAAAGAAGAAGATCTAATTACAGTCCGTTGCCACTATTTGCCCACATCAACAATCACAGGTTCCAGGTCTCTTCTGTCCCTCAGGCTAGGTTCACATCTATGAGCTGCAATTGCGGGGGCGCAGCTCATTCATTTGAATGGGCTACTGTGCCTGCGCTTCATGCAGGAAAATGGTTCCAGCACCTTTTTTTAAAATGCAGCCAGAGGGAAATCACATGGTGCTTTTGCTGCTAAGTCTATGGTGCTGCTCCTCAAACGCCTGGCAGGCGTTTGCGGTGTGTTGTTGCGAGGCGTTTGTGGAGCATTATACCATTTAACTTCATTATAGGCATTTGTGGTGCGGTTTTAACGGTTGGCAAACGCCTATCAAATGCCTCTAAACCGTGCATAGGGCGTTTGGGGAGCATTGTAAGCTCCAAGGAGCAGGGCCCTCCTTTCCCTCTTGTATTGAACAGTATTGTTGCTGTATTGTCTCCTTTTATATTGTACAGCGCTGAGTAAACTGTTGGCGCCATATAAATCCTGTATAATAATAAATTTGAGGAGCGTTAAAAACGCTTCCCAAACGCCTGTCAAACACTATAGGGGCGTTTGGCAAGAGTTAGAAAAATGTCAAGTGTGAACGAGCCCTTATAAAATGTAAGACAACAATTTTCTAGAACACAAGGTACATAACAAAAGATTAATTTTCCGGTATCACCATATATAAACACTGCCCATATATCATATGTTTTCAGCGTTGTGTTTGCTGCAAACGACACTCAGGAATGTCAGGGCATGTGAAAAACACGGAAGTAATTATTTTCATGAGTGGTAATGGAGGGACACTTGGGTGACAACAGTCGGTGCATTACATCCTCACGTCCCTGTAATTTATCATTTGTAGGTGAGGTAGGAGATGTGAACGCCGTGGCCACAGTCTCAGCTGATCATTTTACTACAATAAGACGAGCCATCTCTGCTTTATGATGCAGATAACAATAAGTGGTGGGCAGAGGCGGCCCTTGGACTCCCAGCGCTAATGTGCGCAGAGATTACTCGCCAATTAAGAAATATTTCAGCTCTGCTCGCTGGGGTGACGAGCGTTTAACGAGGAAAGGTTTAGGGATGGAATAGCCATTACATGGACATTTTCACAGGTTTTTCTATTGCTCCGGGCAGACGTTGTGCACTGAAATTTCCGTCTGATTGGACTGAGAAGAAGCACCTTATTGCTGGCAGCCAGAGGGAGCAGCCCTACGCTCTGTGCAGAGATGCCCACATGAAAAGCTCTAATTGTGGGACTAATTGCAGCCGTGTCAGCGTAAAGCTGCCGAGTGTTTGGATAATTACTGTTTAGCAGAAACAGCAATAAAGTGACCGTGTGAGCGCTCACCCCACAAATACCCCACTTGGCCAATTGTCTTCCGGCTCACATGGCCAGTGTGCATTCTGTTCTAAGATTAGAGGCGGCAATTACAGCGCCAATTTGTGTGTTTACACGATAACCCTGACGCACAACAAGCAATCCCTTTACCTGCTTACTGGTTAAGCCCGTCGTATACAGAAAGGGACTACACCAGCACTAATGTCACATCAAGTCAAAGGTTTCATTTCTTCTTTTTCACTTAAGTGGAACTGAAGGCATTTTCATAACACTTGCGAGCAAGCGGGCCGTTTATTGCACAAGAGACCTGCTATGAATCTTCTGCAATAAAGTACACCTACCTGCTTGATTACAGTGTTCTGTGGCACATCGGCACAGTCCCCAGGTTCTGGGAGGATTAACTACTGCACATGAGCAGGAGTAACGTCATTCCACGGCAGCCAATCAAAAAGCCTGAAGATTGGCACACGGGGAGAAGATGCCAGCGCCAGCAAGGGACACCTCTCAGACATTACTGAGGAGGGAATTATACCGATTTTAGTTCCACCTAAGAAGTGATTAAGGCATTTTTTTGTTATAAATAATAAACATATCATACTTATTTCAGGTACTTCTATAGCGCCGTCAGTTTACGTTTTACATATATATTGTACATTCACATCAGTCCCTAACCCTCAAGGGGCGTACAATCTAAAAGGTCCCTAACCCTCAAGGGGCGTACAATCTAAAAGGTCCCTAACCCTCAAGGGGCGTACAATCTAAAAGGTCCCTAACCCTCAAGGGGCGTACAATCTAAAAGGTCCCTAACCCTCAAGGGGCGTACAATCTAAAAGGTCCTTAACCCTCAAGGGGCGTACAATCTAAAAGGTCCCTAACCCTCAAGGGGCGTACAATCTAAAAGGTCCCTAACCCTCAAGGGGCGTACAATCTAAAAGGTCCCTAACAATCAAGGGGCGTACAATCTAAGGTCCCAAACCCTCAAGGGGCGTACAATCTAAAAGGTCCCTAACCCTCAAGGGGCGTACAATCTAAAAGGTCCCTAACCCTCAAGGGGCGTACAATCTAAAAGGTCCCTAACCCTCAAGGGGCGTACAATCTAAAAGGTCCCTAACCCTCAAGGGGTGTACAATCTAAGGTCCCTAACCCTCAAGGGGCATACAATCTAAGGTCCCTAACTCTCAAGGGGCGTACAATCTAAAAGGTCCCTAACAATCAAGGGGTGTACAATCCAAAAGGTCCCTAACCCTCAAGGGGCGTACAATCTAAAAGGTCCCTAACAATCAAGGGGTGTACAATCTAAGGTCCCAAACCCTCAAGGGGCGTACAATCTAAAAGGTCCCAAACCCTCAAGGGGCGTACAATCTAAAAGGTCCCTAACCCTCAAGGGGCGTACAATCTAAGGTCCCTAACCCTCAAGGGGCGTACAATCTAAAGGTCCCAAACCCTCAAGGGGCCCTACAATCTAAAGGTCCCTAACCCTCAAGGGGTGTACAATCTAAGGTCCCTAACTCACATTCATACATACATACTAGGGACAATTTAGACAGGAGCCAATTAACCTACCAGCATGTCCTTGGAGTGTGAGAGGAACCGGAGTACCCAGAGGAAACCCACGCAGGCACAGAAAGAACATGCAAACTCCAGGCAGGAGGTGCTGTGGTTGGGATTCGAACCAACGACCCTAGCACTGCCAGGCAAAAGTACTAACCATTTAGCCACTGTGCTGCCCATACTTACCTGCTCTGTGCAGTGGTTTTACACAGAGTATCCCCGATCCTCCTCTTCTTGGGACCCTCGCCGGCTCTCCTAGCACCTCCCACCTGCCAAGTGCCCCCACAGTAAGCACCTTGCTATGGGGGCACCCAAGCAGGCCTGGCCCCTACCCCTACATCCTCATTGGCTCACTGGCTGTGATTGACAGTAGGGGGAGCCAATGGCTCCCACTGCTGTCTCAACCAATATGGAGGGAGAGTACCGGGAGAGCCGCTTTATGTCCTCCTCTCCCCCTTCTCTACTCTTGGCAAGTTTTGGGGGGCGGGGGGAGATAGAGCAGGTACCTAGCTTTGACAGGTACCTGCTCCCACTTCTGGTTGTCCACTGGATGTTTTTCCTCATCATCAGAGGATAGAGTTGGTGAGGGATCCCCCCCCAAAAAAAAAAAAAAAAAAAAAAAAAACCACCTGGTATTCAATGTGTCTTATGCATTGGTGCTACAGAGAAAAAAAGCCTAACTATTTTTAAATACATGACTTCCCCCCTCCTACTACAATTCCTGCTTACCCTGTATTAAAAAAAAAAAGTGTACTTACCTATTTTAATCCACTACAGTTAGGTTACATGTTCATATGTTCCTGTGTCAGTAAGCAGCTGCTGCAGGGGGAGAGGAGGAAGCGTTGGCAACAGTTGGGTCATGAGAGCTGCCACAACTCCAGGAATTCAAAACCATTGTTGAGCCCCATCCTTACACAGGGGATCCAAAGCTGGCACGCCACTTGCAATGGAAAACGCAACCATACTGGGAACCGAGGTTCCCGCGTGGGCTGCGTTTTCAGAAGTGCAGGGATTTCTTCCCTGCGTGTCACGGGGCACAGGAGTCCATTCAAATGAATGGGTTCTCGTGCCCACGCAAAACGCAGCCCACGCGGCCGCATATTTGTGAACAAGGGGTAACCCTCTCTATTTCCTGCTGGTTCGGACCACGTCTGGAGGCGGTTGCATATATTATAATTACACATTAAGCGCTGAGCTAA